GAGAAAACTTGTGGGTTGAGATAAAAACAGTTTAATAGGTAAAGCAAAAGCCACGCACGCGAGCGAAGCAAAGCAAGGAATTCGTTTGCTACTTCCCATCGGCAAGCAGGTGTTCAGCCATCTCCAGGAAAGCAGGGCTGCATCACGCGTAATGGTTACTCGAGAAGACAAACTCCATCACTCCGAAGGTCCCCCTTCCTTCTTCTTCTGCCAGCTTTATATACTGAGCATGACTTCATACGGTATGGAATACCCCATTGGCCAATTGGGCTAGCTGTCCTGGCTATGCTCCCTCCCAGCTTCTTGTGCACCTGGCAGAGCATGGGAAGCCGAAAAGTCCTTGACTAGGTAAGCACTACTTAGCAACAACTAAACCATCAGTGTGTTATTGACATTATTCTCATACTAAATCCCAAACACAGCACTATACCAACTACTAGGAAGAAAATTAACTCTATCCCAGCTGAAACCAGGACAAGCTCTCAGGCATTCCAGGAATTCCAGATGGTGAAAGGGAGAAATTCTGTGCTCCAAATCATCTCAGCTATGAGGCTGGTGAGAAGTACATAAGTGCAGTAGGGTACAGGGAGTTCGAATACTTGAAGAAACTTGAGTAATAAGAAACTGCAAGAAATATACTTCCTAGAAAGTGAATGCTGCCTCCTAAAATGTTTAGCAGATTCTTTCAGCTTGCTCAGCAATATGAAGGAAGATCTGTGCAATGAAGGAAGGCCGTGCAAGGGGAGGGTAAGCCTGAATTCAAACTCAAGCTGACTGACACAAGTAACTCACAAGATGAGGGAGACTGGACCTTCATCTCCGGTCAAGGCAGAAGTAAGAACCTTGCCCCATCCTCTGAAGTGCCCTTTCATAACAGACATGATGCACTGGGGTTGGAGAATGAAGAGCACATTGAGTAACTGACATGATCCAGGAAAAGCCAACCATGCAGAGTTGAAGCAACCACCCACTCACATTAGAACCAGTGCCACCAGAAAAGCACGTAAAAGTAATTGGAGATTCCTTACTGAGAGGCACTGAAGCACCCACTTACCATCCAGACAATTTCTCTAGAGAAGTTTGATGCCTACCAGGAGGCATCGTGACATCAGTGAAAGGCTGCCAAGCCTAGTGAACCCTAAGGATTATCATCCGCTCCTACTGTTCCATGTAGGATCTAACAATATTATAACAAGGCAACTTGGAACCATCAAAAGAGACTCTATGTCCCTCGGATCAATGGTAAAAGGATTGGGAGCACAGGTGGTATTCTCCTTTATCCTCCCAGTCAGAGGAAGTGGTCCAGGACGGAGGACACAAACAGGTGAATGCCTCGCTCTGTAGCTGGTGCTATACTCAAGGTTTTGGTTTCTATGAACATGGATGTACCTTTGAGAAGTTGTGTCTGTTGGGAGCTGATGGGATTCACCTGACCAAGTAGGACAAAAGTGTCTTCACCAATAAGCTGGACAAACCTGTAAGGAGAGCTTTAAATTAGACTTAGCAGGAGAAGGGGATGGAGTTTTGAGCAACAGAGAAGAGCCAGGGGCTGCTGATGTGTTAGAAAACAACAGGGAAACACCTATGAAATGCCTCAAAGAAACTGGGACTTGTTCCTCCAAAAACGTGACACAGTCGACAGCCCAAGTGAAGTACCTCTATTTCAATGCACATAGCATGGGTTACAAACAGAAGGAGTTGGAAGTCACATGCAGCTAGAAAGCTATGATCGAATTGCTATCACTGAAACTTGGTGGGACAAATCGCGTGACTGGAATGATGCAATCGATGGCTATAAACTGTTCAGAAGAGACAGGCAAGGAAGAGAGGCAGCAGGGTTTCTCTTGATAGTTCAGAGCTGTCTTTGAAAAACAGAGTAGGGTCAGGACGCTGAATTTTGGGAGAGCAAGCTTTCAGTTGTTTAAGGAATTTGTGGATGGGACTCCCTGGGAAACTGTCCTCAGGGATAAAGGAGCAGAACAGAGCTGGCAGCTATTTAAGGACATCTTTCTTACAGCACCAGAGCTTTTGATTCCCATGTGTAAGAAATCAGGCAAGGAAGGCAGGAGACAAGCATGGCTGAGTAAGGACCCCCTGGCCAAACTAAAGTGTAAGAAGGAAATGCACAGGCAGTGGAACCAGGGATATGTAACCTGGGAAGAATCTAGGGATGCTGCCTGGATGTGTAAGGATGGGATCAGGAAAGCTAAGGCACAGTTGGAGGGGAATTCAGCAAGGAATTCACAGTTGGAGGAAGAGTAATAAGAAGGGCTTCTGCAAGTACGTTGGACAGAAAAGGAAGATAAAAGAAAATGTGTGTGTACATGCACACATGCACATGTGATAAATAGGACAGGAGAACTAGTGACAACTGAAAAGGCTGAGGTACTCAACAACCTTTTTTTGCCAAGTTTTCGCTGGCAATCTCTCTTCTCACATCTTAAGTCCCTGAACCTCAAGGCCGGAACTGGGGAAATGAAGTCCCTCCCATCGTAAGAGAAGATCAGGTTCAAGACCACCCAAGGAACCTGGACATACACAAGTCCATGGCACCCGAAGAGATGAATCCCAGGGTCCTGAGGGAATTGGCAGATGTAGTTGCTAAGCCACTCTACATCATTTTTTAAAAGTTATGTCAGTCAGATGAAGTCCCCAGTGACTGGAGAAAAGGGAAACATCACATCCATTTTTAAAAAGAGTAATAAAGAGGACCCTGGGAACTACTGACGTTTCAGCCTCACCTCAGTGCCCAGTAAGATCATGAAACAGATCCTCCTGGAACTTATATTGAAGCATATAGAACACAGGAAGGTGATTAGATACAGCCAACATGGCTTCATGAAGGGAAAATCGTTCCTGATTAATCTGGTGGCCTTCTACAATGGAGTGACTGTATTGGTGGACAAGGCAAGAGCAAGAGATGTCATCTATCTGGGCTTCTCTAAGGCCTTTGATATTGTCCCCCACAACATTCTTGCCTCTAAATTGGAGAGATATGGATTTGATGGATGGACTGTTAAATAGATAAGGAATTGGCTGGATGGCTGCATCTAGAGAGTTACAGTCAACAGCTCAATGTCCAAGAGGCAATTAGTAACGAGTGGTGTTCCTCAAGGGTCTGTACTAGGACCAATACTATTTAATATCTTCATCAATGACATAAACAGTGGGATCGAGTGCACCCTCAGCAAGTTTGTGGGTGACAGCAAGCTGAGTGGTGTGGTTGACATGCCTGAGGCACGGGATGCCATCCAGAGGGACCTGGACAAGCTGAAGACATGGGCCCATGTGAACCTCGTGAGGTTCAGCAAGGCCAAGTGCAAGGTCCTGCACCTGGGTTGGGGCAACCTCCAATATCAGTACAGGCTGGGGGATGAAGGGATTGAGAGCAGCCCTGCCGAGAAGGACTTGGGGGTATTGGTGAATGAAAAGCTGGACATGAGCTGGCAATGTGCACTCGCAGGCCAGAAGGCCAACCGTATCAAAAGAAGCATGGCCAGCAGGTTGAGGGAGGTGACTCTCCCCTTCTACTCTGCTCTCGTGAGACCCCACCTGGAGTACTGCGTCCAGCTCTGGAGTCCTCAGCACAGGAAGGACATGGACCTGTTAGAGCGGGTCCAGAGGAGGGCCACAAAAATGGTCAGAGCGCTGGAACACTGCTCCTATGGAGAGAGGCTGAGAGAGCTGGGGGTACTCAGCCTGGGGAAGAGAAGGCTCCGAGGAGACCTTATTGCAGCCTTTCAATATATAAAAGAGGCTTGTAAGAAAGATGGCGAGGGGCTTTTTACCAGGTCTGGGAGTGACAGAAGGAGCAACAGTTTTAAACTGAAAGAGCGTAGATTTAGATTGGACATAAGTAAGAAATTCTTTACGATGAGGGCGGTGAGACACTGGAATAGGTTGCCTAGAGAAGCTGTGGATGCCCCATCCCTGGAAGTGTTCAAAATTAGGTTGGATGAGGCTTTGGGCCATCTGATCTAATGAAAGATGTCCCCATGCCCGTGGCAGGGGGGTTGGACTAGGTGATCTTTAAAGGTCCCTTCCAACCCAAACCATTCTATGATTCTGTATCTAAAAAATCAATAATTCTCAAAGAGCATAGTTTCATAGACTTCATGGAAGAGGTGAGTTTTATTTTATCTTAAGAAACAGAATTTTTTAATTTAGTTTCTTTTGTGGATCATCAATCTAGACTTTACTGGCTGTAAGATCTGAGTGCATATTCCAGTACTGGATATTTAGTTTGAACACTTTAGTGAGCTGCTGTTGTTAATGTTTACTAAAGGTTTTCATCATTTAGCATTGGCTCTTGAAATAATCACTATTTTGATTCCAGTGACAGAAGAGCAACTCAAGTTGGTTCAAAAGTTAAGTCATTCAAAAAAGTGCAAAGAAAGAATATCAAGAGTTAAAGAAAAGTACTTCATATTGTTGTTATTAAAGTGAGTAGCACTGAGGAACAGCTCCATGTTGAGGCTGGGATATTTCTGATGAGATGTGTGTAGAAAAGGACTTAAACCTCCAGTGACCTTCCTTGAGAAGAGACCAGGAAACATCTGTGCATGATGTAATAGTTTGTAAACAGGGAATTTATTTAAAAGAGATTATTTTGCCTGACAATGTCAGAGGAAACAATTTCCACTGTGTAAATTACGACTGATTATTTTGGGAGATGTTATTTGTACATAATCTGCTAAATTAAGCCAAGGTTGTCTAAATACATAATTCAGTTTTCTGGCATCTCTGGAGTTTAGTAACATGGCTTCAGACTTGATAGAATTTAATTTATTCCCAGGAAAGTTAGCTAAATAGTTCAGAAACAACAAAGGTAAAGTACAGTCCTTTGGCTTAATTGCATATTAGCGTGTTGATGTACACAGCAATAAGATGCGCTGGCCGAGGCTTAAACATTGTGAGTACCTGACCTCAATTGTTAGGAGATAAAAATTCTCTGGTAACTGTTGGCTCACTCTATAAGTGTGTGTGTGTGTATATGTGTATTCTTAGTTTATTAAGCATACGAAGTAGCAGGGCAGACCTGCATGCCTTTATCTGTATCACAGCCTCAGCCAGCCTTCTTATTTTTGTTGTCTAGTGCTATCCCTCTACTCTTACGCTGTCAGGATGCTGATGCCTGTTTCCTAATATTATGCATTATCTTTTTTTTCCTTCTCAGACTGTGCTGAAGATGATATATGAGGAGAGCCGCAAAATATTGGCTTTGTCAGAACGTCCCTTTGGTTTTAGGGAGCTGAAAAATGTTCATCAGACCAGAGTGGCAATGGAGGGATGGCAGAAGGAGGGCTTAGCCTTGCTGGATGCTATACAGTCGCTGAAAGATTACCTTAGCAAGGTGGCAGATAGAGGAGACAAGGTATGACAATAAAAATATCCTTTAAAGCAAGGTAACCAGTTTTTTTTATATATATATTTATGTGTGTATTATTATGTAGTTGGGAGGCGTGTGTGTGTATGTGTGTGTATATATATATATATGAGGAGCAAGGGACTCTTTCTGAGATTTGAACAGGCCTCTAAACACCTTCAGTCTGTTTAAATTAACAAATAGGTATACTCTTACACAGTAATGGTATGAAAGACAGTGTGTTAGAGATTGAGAGAGATGCCATTTTAAAAAAAAAATTTTTGTAACAGGAATTTTCAGGTATTGCTGCTGACTGGAGAGGAGAACTGCTGCAAGCAGTACAGAGTGTGTTTGAGAAGGAGAGAAATGTGTTGCAAATTGACTTGAAGTCTCACTTCCCCAATCCTGGGTCTGGTGATGAAGGTTCATTAGTGGAAAAAGTGGAGTATATAATGAAACAACAAGTAAGAAAACCTCTTAAAGTGTTATGCTCATAAATCACTTCTTCTATTCCCCTGTATTTTTCTATGGTTTTTACATTTTTATTACTTCCATTGTTAAATCTTATCTTGTGCATTAATCCAGATCATGTGGGATCAGTAGGCTTTTATAGTCTACGTTTTTGTACCATTTTTCTCAAACTTTGTATATTGTGTTACAAAGCCTATTGAGTATTTTAGCTGGCATCCAGAAAGATTGTAATAGTGAGAAGGAAATATTTGATAAAAAGGGATGAGGGGAAGAATTCCACCTAGAGCTTCACGGACTTCTCTTGCAAAGGGTATATATTGAGCTATAAACTCTGTATCTGTTTGGCATTTTTTTGCTGATAATATCTAGTTTTTAGGTTCAGACCAGATGGTTTGTAGTAAGTATTATTAATAACTATTATTGTATTTGGAAGCTAGTGAAGTGGGGTTTTTCTTTGTTACTTAACGTTAACATTTTGCATTAATATGAAGCACGAACTTAGTCATCTGAAGTTGCTTCCATATAAAACTTGTACTGCAAGGGTTTCTTTAGGGTTTATCTTTGTAGAAAACACGGGAATGGCCTTGTAGATTTAATCGGACTTGGTTTGTTTTCAGGAGGAACAGAGGCAGATGGTTGTAGAGCACCTTTTCTCTTCAGACCGGAATAGCTTGCTCTCTGAAATACAGGACCTCCGAGCTCAGCTACGCATGACACATCTTCAGAACCAGGAGAAGCTACAGCAGTTACAGGAAACCCTTACAAATGCAGAAGATCACGGGAACAAACAAGAACACCACCTTCGGAGGAAAGGTAGTAATGGCCAAGTTCTTGTTATCTGGTTTTTTGTTGTGGTTTAACCCGGCAGGCTTAAACACCACACAGGGTTAAGCAGCCAAACACCACACAGCCGCTCGCTTACTCCCCTCCCCTTCCCCCCCCCTGCCCCCAGCAGTAGGGGGGAGTCAGTTCTTTTCTTTTTTACCAGGAAGATAAAAGGCAAAAAAGATTGTTTTGCAAAAATGCAGATGCTGTACAATTCTTCAGTTTTAGTAATGCACTCAGGTTTCCTACGATTTTAGCAGAGGAAGGAATTCTTCTTTCTAGTATTAGTAGTTAAGAAAAATCTGTGAAAAGCAAAGAGAAGCTTTAAAATAACCCAAAGCAATAGACCTGAAGGGTGAGGTTTTGGTAAATAGTGTATACACGTAGAAAACCCATAAAGGATAGTAAAATACCCTTGTTGGTTTTCAGGAAATTCTTTATAAATATGTGTGCTTCTAAATGGATGGGTTTGCTTAATGAGGTTTAGAATCCACTAGTAACAGGTTACTGACAGTATATCACAGTAGCTCTCATAGTCTCACCCAGCTTTCATGTTCTTCTCACTTTGCCTCGTCCGCTAGCAGCATGTCTCTGCTGAGTCATCTCATGTTTGAAAAGAAATGAATACTTCAGATAAGAGCACTTTAATACAGCTGATTTCCCCACCCCCCCCAGTTTGAACCAGTGTAACTGATAACATTGTCAAGTTCTGTGCAATAACTGTTAACATTTTCTTATCCTAGTTGAATTATTAGAATAGGAAAAATCTATCGTAAGTGACTTGCACAGCACCCTGTCTGAGGAGCAGAAGAGAGCCTCTGAAACATGTGATCACTTGAATCAAGAAAAAGCAGCCCTGCAATCAGAGCTTTACGAAAATAAGCAAGAGAATGAAAGGCTGCAGAAATCCCTAGAAGAGCTTCAGAGGGAAATAAACCAGTTAAGGTGAGAAGTAGATTTATTCATTTATTTTATTTTATTTATTAACAGGTCTGAAAGAGCTTTATACTCATTGGATCCGCAAATAGCTTAGCACTTGGAAACACAAGGAGGAAAACTAACCTCTCTCGCTATTCATGGATATGTTCATTTTTCTTTACTGACTGCCTAAATTTATTTATTATTCAATTCAGATTTGCATATTTACCTTTTCTGTAGCCTTGACTGAGAAGGTTGTGGAAACAAGTGCATGTTGTATGGGTGTATTAAAAGTGAACAGACTAGATCCCTGCATCCCTGATGTACCCCACTCCTGCAGCTTTTGTCTTAGTCTTTTGGTTGGTACTTCTGTTTGCCTGTCATCTTGTGTATGTTCTTTTTCTCCACTCCCTCGTCCCTTTATTTCTAGTGTATGCTAATGTGTTTCTTTCCTCTCACAGGACAACAGTTTTGCTCTGCCAGGATAGATAACTTCTCCCTATCTCTTAATTGTTACTGGGCAATTCTAGCTTTGCTTGCAGGGAGGAAAATGTTTTCAGATGCTAAATAGCTGTGTATTGAAAACTGACCCTCTTTAGAAAGAGCAGAGACCATCTTAAAGAAACAAGGCAATAAACCAACTCACAAAAAGTAACCCAAAACGTCTTGGTTGCGTTGCTGGTGAAGGATGTTCTCTTCTGAACATAGATAGAAGTGTCGTTTTGAACTTTGCAGTTTTGAATTGGAAAAAAGAGAACAGGATTTGACAGCTGCACTTGAAGACTTGCAGACTGAACATCTGAAAGAAACAGAGCTACGAGGTTTGTTTGAGGAACAACAGCTTCAGCATAAGAAAGCAGAAGATAAAAAGACAAAGGCCTTGGAGGTAATGCCCTACATTTCAGTTCACCTCCCTTGGTGCATAAAGTTAAAAAGTTATTTTTGCAGTCTTTTTCACATCCAATGCTTTTTGTTTAATAACTGTTTTAAAAAAAAAAAAAAAAAAAAAAACAACACAACCAAAACAAAACTTCTGAATGTGCATAGAGTTTATTTTGTTTTCACAGAATTAAAGTTTCAGTTACCCTCCTTAATTGCACATGCACATTCTTGGGACCTTTTTTGTACTGCCCCTTGCTGCATAGGGAGAGCCAGGTTCTACAATTGTGTAACTGCGCTTTTTATTCCAGAGCAAACATGCTGTGAGGATGTGATGTGTATGATCAACTGAGATTATAAAGAAAACCACCCAATGATACATATGCTTGGCAGAGAGTAATTGGAGCCTTTCCAATATAACATGTATTTTTTGGAGGTTAACCAAAGTCTTTTTTTTGTTCCCTTTCTTCTAAATTGAACGGAAAACAAATGAACAGCATTCTCTCTGATACTGTGATAGCAATGACTCAGTTCTTGTAAAAGGCCTACAGTGACTGGAAAAGGAAGAAGATTTAACATAAACCTTTTTTTAAACTTAAAAACCAAAACCAAACTCTATTAGATAACTCCAAAACAATCCTAGTTAAATGCCCTAAGTAAGGAAACACAATTCTGACTCTATTTCCTTCTAGTCTGGCCTCTCACATCATCTTTCTGGTAGATGTTTAGGTTTGTGGATGATTTTTGTTTGTTGGGATTTTTGTTACTACTTGCATGGTAGAACATGGTGCTAACATCCTCCATCTTGTAAAAAAATTACTCATGCAGGGAAGGCAGGGACCACCTTAGCCAAGTCAAAAAGAAAAGTGCATTGCCCCCAGTGTAGTTGTGCACCAGATTAAACCATTCACAGTTCACATTGCTGCAGTCTTGCATTCCCAAATCCTCCCTTGAAGCATACTATGGAAAGCTGATGCCACTTAATATCTGACCTGGCTTTCTACAAGATCAGAGGAGAGGTGATGCTGGCTGGGAGGGGTAGGGCAGACCCCCCTGCTGGGACGACTGCAATGCTAGCTCTGTCTGCAAGGGCCCTGGGACTGCCCCTTCAGTTGCTCCCTTTCCTTCTGAAGAAAGGCTGGCTCCCAAAATGGACCTAGGGATGGATTATTTTTTTCAGTACGGTGTGTTTTAAACAGATGGGCTGTGAAATCCAGAGGTTTTACATCTACTCTTACTGCTTAGATTTTTGGTTCTTTTTAAATCAACATGGGTTATTTCTGCTTCAGATGTCACTTATTAAGGGAATTGAGTGATATAAAGAATAGTGATTTCCTAATGAGGGTCTTGCTAATTGAAGGAAAAATAATGTACCGGAAGATATTTTAACATTACAATCTTTGGTTTTGTTACTTGGTGTCATGTTGCTAACAAGCATGCTTCTGGCACTTGTAATTAGAAAATTAAACTTGTAATTTTAAATTAAACTTTTTAATACCTGAACTACTCTAATTCAGTCTTGAATTTCTTCCTGGGTAAAACAGGAGGTTGAAAATTGCCGAATGCCAGCCTCCCCACAAATGGATGCTTGTGCTGGACTACTGATATGTGCTTCCCCCTTTTGAACAGGAGCTGCAGGCTGCCTTGGAGTTGCAGTCGGTGCAGAATAGCCAGCTGGCCGTATCCTTAGAGCACGAGCAAACGGTAAATAATAATCTCCGCAAGGAACTTCAGATCGAGCACTCCCGCTGTGAAGCGTTGCTGTCCCAGGAACAGACCAAACTGTTGGAGCTACAGAGAAATTTGGATGCTGAGAAAAATCGTTCATTGGAGCTCCTGAATTCCTTGAATCACGAACGTGTTTTGACAGAACAGTTGAGTATGAGAGTGAAAGAAGGTGCTTCTTGTCAGCATAGGGAGTTGCTGTTGGAACAAGCCTTTGTTCGAGAGCTCCAAGCCCAGCTGGAAGAAGAGAGGTCCCGAACTATGGAGCTAGCTGCTATTATTGAGAAAATGCACCAGAAGGCCGTTCGCTCCAAAAGGCAGCTAGAGGCCGAAGTACAGATGTGCTGCGAAGAAACCCAGAAGGAGAGAGAGGTCAGTGACAACTTGCGAGCTATGCTGGAATCTCTTCAGGGTCAAAAGGAAGAGGTAATCCGTTCCTTAGATGCCCAGAAGGAAAGAGAGGCAAAGCTGAAGGCCGACTGGGAGCAACTGCAGTCACTCTTCAAGATGATGAAAGAGCAAGATAAAAACAAGAAAGAGGAGAGAGACAGAGAGCGAAGACAGCAGCAACAAACAGAGCTAGAGAAACAGACGGACTGGCAGAGAGATCAAGAGAGACTGGTGAGAATGCCTCTGCAAGTCTTGCCTTGCATTGAAGTAGCCACAAACTAGGATTTAACCCTGTAGATGGTTTTCTTTAATAGAAATGTTTCCTTCCCTTAAACAAAGCATTCTGAAAAATGCATTAGATGAGCTCTTTTCCTGCATTTCTCAAGCGCAGCTGTTTTCAGGGGTTTGTGTCTGGGTTTATTGTTGACAGAAGTTGATCTTTAAATCTTTGCCTATGCTGGGAATTGCCAGTTGTTAACAGATGGAGAAGAACATGGCTTAAACACAGAACAGAACCAAACTAGGTTTCATGTCATTGCCCTTATTTTAAGCAAGGCTCCTAATTGTGGTGTGCAACGGTACCAATTTCACCCTTCTTGCTTCTCAGCTCCTTCACTTTAATTAGAGGAGGAGGGAGGCTTTGCAGGCTCTTTGGAGACTTGTCCATCACCACATCTGGAAATAGATGGAGAAAATGCCCACTTCAGAGTCATTAAATGGCTTCCTGGTGGCCCTGGAAGGCAGTATTGTAAGCCTTCCCCCTAAAAGTGGTCTGTGAGTTAAGGAACACTGAGATGGATATGCTAGTTAGATGTGATGCTTTTATTTGCAGTCTGTGTGTGTGTGTACAAAAAAACACTTATGTGTGTATGTGTATATATATATATGTGTGTGTGTATATGTATAAGACGCAATTAACTACTATTATTCTTTTCAAATAGCAAAACTTGGAACGGCAACACCAGAGGGATGAACGGAGAATTAAAGAGCTGCAGGAAATACTGGCAATATTAGAAAAAGGAGAAAGAAATCTCCCATCTCCAAACCATCAGCAAGAACTGTTGTGTACCTTAAACAAAGATCGAAATGCCAAACAGGCCATGACAAAAGAAACTGAAAAATCGCATTTGCAACAGCAGCAACAACAGCTAGAGAAAATAAGACAGCAGTTGCTTTTTGTAACTATGCACCTGAATGAGTTCATATATAAAACTGTAGATAAGTGAGTAGTTGTTCATAAAACAGTATTTTTCTTTACATCCTGCTTCTGAACTTGAGTGGGTCATGGCTGAGAGCCCTATGCTGAAGGGAATGAGCGGTATATCTGCTTACAAGACTTAACCTTGTGTGAAACCATGGTTTCATGGTGGCAGCAGTCTCTGGTTATTGTGATCCCACTGCAGCCATTCCCATTAGAAGCTTGTATGCCTGCATTTGAACTAGATCTGTGAAGTGATCCTGCTTAAAAAGAACAACTCCAAAAAAAACCCTACTGGAAAGCAGCAGTATGATTAGAGAGCAATCAAAAAAACGGGTTAATCAACACGTCTGCAGGTTTAGAATGGGAAAGTCCATTGAGCATGGCAGGGAAAAGCTAGGCATCAGGAATGAGTGGCCAAGTTGCAGTAATTCCTTACTTCTTTGGCAGCAGAGTGAAATACTAGTAATGTTTTGCTGCAGCCTGAATTTGCATGATAGAATTTCAGACTGGTATAAAATACAGACTTCTGAATAAGTCCTTATGTGGCACTATTTAGAAATTCTACTCTTAAAAATTAACAAAACTTGCTAATTTCTGTGTGTATTCATAGTATTTTGTGTAATTAATAGTGCATAAGTGCAGCCTCAAAACTTAAAGATCATCCAGTGGGGAGAAGGAATCAAATGTATGTTAACATTACTACAAATCAACCTGATACTGAAAAAGTATTTCTGTTTAACAGAACAGTTAACGATTGGTCTGTATCACATGATGAAGCTGTAGCCTCTTTACTGCAGACATTAAAGGAACTAAAGTCAGATTTATTGTCTCCTCCTGCATCTCAGGTAAGGAAAACAGCATATATTTGTTGGTTATCAGTAAGCTGTTCTGTATTCTTTGGGTTGCAGTACATGTCTAAGTTGATTGATTTGATTTATTTATTTCCTCCCCTCCCCTTCCTTTTTTGGTAAAACATTCTGAGGAAGATTGTGTTTTGCCTTGGGGATGGAAAAAAGATGTACTCTTGTACTTGTACTTGCACTGTCATTATATTAACATATATTAGTATGTGACACTTGCTTTTTTGTTGTATTGCAGAGTCTGCTTCTGATGGCTTTTTTTTTCCTAGATGTGTAATATGTCCAAGGATATCAAACTCTGGGATGTGTTGCTGCTGCTTCTGTATACATCAAGAGACAGTTGTTTTTCAACAAATTGTCAAGTAATTTTCAAAAAGCACAATAGTGGTTTGTCATCTCAGGAGCGGTATTTTTATACAAGCCTAGGGATTATCAAAGACTGAGCTGAGGTCTATTGACACAAAATACGTACCTTTTAGATTCCATCTTATTCACCAGATAACTTTACCCTATCATTTATATCTTTCTCTTGTAATAAAGAAAGAGATCTTCAACCACATTGCAGCCCTTTCAGCCAAAATTTTGGGATTTAGGGCTAACTAACAGTTTTGGCTCTGTTCGATTCAGCCTCTCTCTACACCCTCACCTGCTTGATTGCAGATCCCCGGAAAACACACCTTTGAGAAAGAGTTCTGTCTGTCCTGTACATGAAGAGGCTTTTGTAACTTCTGTTGTTCTCATGTGCTCTGTAATACAACTCTGATGTATGGCAAGCTGGCTAGGCATGGTGCAAGCTCTCCCTGTGTCTAACTGCTTACAAAATACAATAAATATTTTCTTTCTGTCACCTGTGCAGCCACTTAGGTGGTTGCCAAATGGATTGTCTCCAGCCGTCAGGAGGGGGATATAACCTCTTCCCAAGTAGGTGTTCTTGGAGTTGTTTTGGTTAAGCCTTCCTCTCACAAAGGCTTAGAGCCCTCTGCTGTGGACAAAATGCTCGGAGAGCCTGTGGGGGGAACCAGACAACTTTATGGCTCTATTTAAATCTGACTTAGCAGAACTCCCTCCAGAGCTGAGCTGTTTTTCTGGCTCAGCTCCCTCCAAGTTATTAATGTACTGGAAAAGAAAAAAATAGTTTGGGTTGTTTGTTTTGACTCTGATACCATTAGGTCTTCTGCATTAGAAACTCTGTTGCAAATGCTCTTCACAACTTCTAGGTTTTCCAGGCGCTCATCACCATTAATGAGCAGGCCTCTTAACGTTACGCCAGTGAATGCCATGCAGAATAGCAGTCCCTTCTCTTGCTGGACCAGACTTTGCAATTGTCTCCTCCAGGGACTATGACCACACTAAAATAAAGGGACTCAAGTTTTTTGACTTAAATTTTGTTTAACAAAAGAAGAGTTTAGTGGAGCATTCTAAAGACATATGCCTTTCTGTAGCTTAGAGAGCAAAAACTCTACCTTGATATCCTTTCTTCTGTGGGCACAAAGGGGCCCTCCTCTCTGCGCTCTTTTCAGGCTTTGATTTTTTTCCAGAATCACCTTTTGTTTCAGTCTCCTCCCTGAATTTCTCCATCTTTTAAGGTACTGAACCACATGCGCTGGAGACCAAAGGACTTTACTGCTGTTACCTCCTTGAGTTGTGGATAAATTGGGGACTATTAGACAGGGAAACTGGCAGAATGCCAAAATGAATATGGAGTCAATTGGTCAATCAAATACCAGCTGGTGCAGTAGAAATCAAGTACGTAGATGTATCATGTAGAACTCCTCATGTATTACAAGTATCTGTTACTGCCTTCAAATTGAGCTTTTGTAGATCTGTAAAATCCCTGGGATGGTGGGACCGTAGTCCTTACTTGGATGCTCGCTGAGGAGGCCAATATAAAACAGCTTCCCTCCACTTCAGTACGATATAAATGGGTTTTGTTTCCCATGTTTGAACTATTTTTAATAATACTTGTCTGAAGTGTGTTTTGTACCTGAAGTCCTTATCTCTGCCCTTGTTCTCAAAATGCTCTTCTGTCCTATCTCCGTGTGTGATACGGCACAACCACCATGCCAGTGTGTAGGGAAATGCGTGCTTTAGTTTGTCTAACTTCAGTGTAAAAACCTGAAATTGTATAGAACATCTGTGAATTAGATAATAAGTGCAGGACAAGAGTTTAAGTTGGACAGAAATAAATACCTAATTTCAAAACAATACTGAAGGTAGTGTTAGGTTCTTGAAGCATTTTTTTAACTCGTTTTAAATATGCTGAGAAGTGGAGAGCCTTTACTTTCTGAAATTTTAAAGAAGCTGCAAAGTCAAAAGGGAGAGAGGTGGATTATGTGCCGTAAAGGTACAGATAGCATTGGAATATATTGCAGGCAGTAAAAAGACTTAGATAGCTGTGGTTTGTTAAACTTTATTGTATAAAATTTTTTTACTTGACAAGTTGTGCTCTTCGTAGAAGACAAATGTAAATGGCACGTGTTAGTGTACTAAGGTATTCATAAGGAATTACTCCTGAAGGTATTCAAACTCCTAATAAGGTTATACTAAAATAAGTTGCTAGGAGAAGTTGGGGTGAGTTGTGTTTACTGGCTCCTCTAATGTACAGATTTTATTTCAAGAGATAAAACATTAACTGCCTCAAAAAATATCTTTTGTTTCTTCGTGGTCTGCTGCTTCACACACTGATGTAACTGTTGACCATTAAATTGATAGTCGATACGAAGAGGGTTATGAAGGCAGAACTTCCACAAATTGGACCTGGAGTTGTGGGTCTCATTCCTACAAGAGATGACTTACCACAAAACTGAATTTCTCAGAATTGAATGTGATTTTTCAGAATTTACTTTTGTAGATGCTTCATATACACAGACATCTTTCTTCACAGTTTCTGTGCTGCCTGTGGATGTGGAAAAAAGCCAGATGATTTGTGTCCGTTTCCAAGTGTTTGGGAGACTCTCTGTTATTAAAGGGAATAGGATTCCTGTAAAGCTGATCAGACAGACCTGTAGAGAAGGGGTTGCTTGATTAACAATTAATTTGATAGTTCTTAAGAATGGCTGCTTGTGTGTTTCAGTTTCCCATCCTGCTGTTTAACACCTGAATGCCATTGCTGATTTTCAGGCTCGTTATTTTTCTGTTTTTAGTTTGTCCATAAAGTTAGGTTATTATTCAGTTTGAGATGTTTGGCTGTGGAAGTAATGTGCAAAAACCATCACGGCTCACTTCCTTTGGGTTTCTTTTTTAGATCAGATCTACGGATGATACTGACTCTGTTCAAGAACTGGAAAGAGACACTTGGCAGCGAGAGAGAAACATTTTGCAGAATGCACTGAAACAGGCTGAATCCAAACTGGCTAAAGCAACCGTTGAAATTGAAAACAAACCAGTGGTAGAAACTTCCAGTCCTAAGGTAAAATGGTCGTGATGGCCAGCAAATGGGCTGCTGGAGCTTGATGACCGAGCGATGCCATAGCCATTAGCATGTCATTTAAACTTTTGGCACTTGGTTTGCTTTCGCTGTCTTGCCTGTTGTACAGATTTGCTGTGTGAGAACTGTTACCAACTCACGATCATAAAAACCTCTGGAGACTTCAGTCCTTGGTAGTAGTGTTCTTGGGCATTGCCTAAGGGATTGATGTCACATGTAGAACAGGTAACTTAGTAATTCTATTTTTTTTTTTTAATATAAATATGATAAAACTTGCTGTTACAGAGGAGCCAGGAAGTATACAGCTCAGATTTCTGTGGATATAAGTACCTGTCAGATTATGGCATTTAATTTTCACTTATTGCTGTTGTTTTAAAGGTGATTTAATAGATGAACAGTTTTATAAACTGCATATTAAATTAGGAACACTTCCCCATATGCCTCTCATCAGAGAAGTTCCTTTGTAACTTGCTGTTAGACAGGAACTTGCACCAAAAGTAACCTAGCTCTTTGGAATCCCTTTCTCTTAAATGAGAGGGAGATTCAGATTCCTTGTCTAAGCATGAAAATATAAAACATTGATTATTTTTAATTTTATTCCCCGTAATCTTAAATACTTTTTATTCCTCTGACACATTTGATTGTAATAAACTAGATGGGCACTTACCCCAACATGCTTCCTAGTTAATTTTTATTTAAAGCAGATGTTATTTTCTTTGTTAAAGAGTGAAACTGTTTTAGAGTTTTGGGTATGACAATTTTGCTTTTCAACATTCAGGAGATTTAACGGAGTCTGACACTCCAAACTTGGGTGCTTTTTAGCTATGTACAGAATTGTTCCAGCTGTCCTTGTGTCCGCAGTATGGACGTTCGATATGAAGACAGCTTGTTTGTGGCTGTTTTTTGCACACCAACCAGTAACCATGCCAAAATTTTCTAGCCTAGTCAAGACTTCACAAACATACAAAAATTCAGTAGACTTGGTACAAGTCTCCATATATGGTGTCCAAACTGCCAGAGCGTAGTACTGCTACTTTGCACCAAAACTGGCCAAGTAGAAAGTCTGTTATACAAATACTTGCTCAAAATTTCATTTTAGAGATAAATGTACACTGCTTCCATACTTCATAATTATTAAATAGCTTTCTACAATTTTGTAAAGCAAAATAGGTTTTAGATACCCATGCACAACCAAGTTGTGGGAGATATTGCTGCTGACCAACTTCTCTGAGCTTCATGTAGCTAAATCTTAACAGATTGGATTTTTTTTTTTTCCTTTCTCCAGTTGCAGAGATTATATAGGAAGTACCTTAGAGCAGAGAGCTTTAGAAAAGCTCTAGTTTATCAGAAGAAATACCTCTTGCTGCTTCTTGGTGGATTTCAGGACTGTGAGCAAGCAACCCTCTCTCTAATAGCACGTATGGGAATCTATCCCTCATCAGCAGACCTGCAGCTTTCTGGATCACGTTCCCGTCCTTTTACAAAGTTCAGATGTGCAGTCAGGGCAATCATCGCCGTATCAAGGTAAAGCCAAAGCACTTGCTGTCTCTCGTACATGGTGTTTTCTTGGAAATTTTAAAAATTGATAGTTCCTGTGGTTTATCCTATATTAATATTAAGCAAAAGCTATCTCCAAAACTAGTTCGTACATGACTGGTTAGCTATAACTTTGGCCAAACTGCTATTTCAGAGTCAATGCGAAGTTGGATACATACTAAACTAAAGATTTATAAAAATCTGCTTCTGTCTTGAGACATACCCAGCTGCAATATATTTGAGAATCAGTGCACAACAATGACAAACTGATGTCCTTTCAGGTCTGGCCCTTATCTATTTAGACTCACTGGATAGTCTGTCTTGTATCAGAATGTGATCATCTCATCAGCGATGGTTTTCCTCTCCTGAATCCAGTAGCCTGTGTTTCATTGGGTATGATTCTATCATACTCTGTCACTTACTATCAAATGGATTTTGTTAGCTGTACTTGGGACAATAGGTCATCTTGTAATGGCCTTGGAGTCCATTTAATGAAAAAAAATAGTTGAAAATGTAATAGGTGGTTACTTCTGAGCAATTTCCTTGTCTAGTAAAAATGATTACTAGCAAGTTCAAGACTTTCAGGAGATGGCACAGAATGTCTTTAGGCTGTTGTCTTTGACGTGGATGCTATAATGATAGCAATATCAAAGGACGTAGGAGCAGTGACCTCCAGACTACTCCTCTGAGGCAGGAAGAGCTGCCACAGAACTCTCTGGAGATCAGGGACAGAGTGCAGAAGCTGTGCCAAAATGAGCAAACCTTTCCAACAGTTAAAGGATCATTGCAGAGTAAAATGGGATAAGCCTTCATTCTAAAGACTGAAGTTGAAGAATTCTTCCTCCATTCCTGCAAGGATTGTTACTTATGCTGTTTAATACATTTCATGCCAACAAAGAGTTTAATCTTAAAATTCAGTGTATTTTTGCTTATTTTTAATGATTGTACAAATTTATTTTGTTACTAAGGTTAAAGTTTTTGGTGAAAAAGTGGAACAAAGTTAGCAGGAAGAGCGCACAGGGTGAAACCGTTTCTCACAGTATAGGAGGTAATACAGGTAAGCATTTTGGACAAGAACATTGTTTTAATCATAATTTCTCTTTAGTGATGTGTTTCATTTAAAAACAAAAACAAAATCTGTTTATCTGTTAACACAAATGTGTTTATCCATTTCCTGAACAGAATGATTATGAGTTTACGAGGACATTGTAAGAAATTACAATTGAAAAGTTTCAGGACTTATAATTTACAGCAACGACGAGCTCCTCCTCTTCTCCCTTTATTGCAACTGCTCAAGCTGTGAAACTGAGTCCTGTGTTCATGAAACTCATCAGAGAATTATGTTTTGTACAGTTTGAAGCTACCTGTAATGGAAATTAATGCCACGAGTTATTAATAAGGCAAGGACAAGTACTGCTGTAATAGTATTAAAATGGGTACATGCAGCATCAAAATAAGTCTTAGAAGTGGTGTACTTGCTAGTGTTTCCAGAGGTGAAAAAGGGTTTTAAGTGGTTCCAGAGGTTCAGAAGAGACTTAATCTGATGGCAGATGTCCCATAACTATTTTCTCTGGAGTTTATTAAGTACTATCAAAGATGACAAAGTAGAGCACATGGATAGATGGTCTCATGCAGTTCAGTAAGGACTGTGGTCCTTTGAGTTACTTATGGAGGTTGTAAGAATGCGAACAAACATCTTAATGCAGTACCCAGTATTGTGGAACAGTCCCATTTTATGTAAATTCATCTTATGAAAATTCAGATGAAATAGTGCGTTTTTCATTACCTGGTATTACGTAATTTTCAGTGTTTCTAAGTTGCTGGAAATACTTATTTAAAAAAACAAAACAGAATACCAACTTCCTACATAAAACCACACTGTGGTGTGGTTCCTATGAAACTTGAATCCTGAAATGCATGCTGTACTTTCTACCTCACTAGAAAATAGCATCTTGGCAGCCTCATTAAAAAGTACTTGATTTCTTTTTGTGATTTAAAGGATTTGTCTGAAAGGGTTTTTCTTTTTTAATGAAAACAAAACAACAACCCACCCTCACCCCCCCCCCAAAGCTTCATCAAACCAAGCAAAAAAAATCTCTTCCTTTCTCTGCTGTCTCTAAAATCAGAGAGTGTAAGTCAACAGTAACATATAGTTAGAGCAAACAACAAGAATTAAAATTTCTTGAAAAAATATTCTGCTCATATTAGCTATTGGAACATCCCCTGTGTGGATATAGCAACAGCTGATGAAAAAGCAAGTCTGGAGAAAGAAAACAGTGCAAGTTCTCCATTTGCAGGAAGCAGTTGTTCGACGTTAAAATGTCAAACTTCTGTTAAATCTGGTTAAAACAAACAAACAAAAAACCAAACCAAAAAAGCAGTTAGCTGTAGAAAGTGTATTTTAGCTGCATTCAAAACCAACCACAATTGTACTCTGCTGTAATTCTTGTGGGTTTTATTGGTTAGGTTTATGATAGCCTGTTTTGAATCGTTCCCAGTGCATATTTTTTAACTGTTTCATATTTAACACAGCCTCTGGTGCTAGAACAGAAATTCTGAAAGAGCAGCAGCCCCCAACTGTTCAAGTCGGCTCTCCCCCAACCAGGGATACTGGGCTGTGCCACAGAACCAGCTCTGCAAGATTTGTGAGCCACTCCCCCCGATCCTTTTACTACTTACACAACAGGTCAGTCTTGTAATCTCTGCCTATGTTAATCAAGCCGATGGACAGTCTTTCATAAAAATGTAACCACTTATTGGAGGAGGTACTTGAACAAGAAGAGGAATTTGTTTTCTTAGATCTGGTAAATGTTTTTTTTTTTTCAAGATGCTACAGAAGAAGAAAATTTCTCTTTTTCTTTAAGCGTCTGACGTTCTTGGACTGAGAGCATTCCTAGTGGTGTTTCCCAGATTAATTTGGACAGGCTACAGGATTTATAATGGCTATGCCAGTTAGCGTTCTTTGAGGGGTACTTCTTGTTGCCTTTGCTGTCCAAGTTGGAGATTAATTTCAAAGTATCCTGTGGAAGCGGCTCCCCTACCATATGATAGCGTTGCATTAGTATTAGCTGCCTTCAGACTCTGTGCATGCACACAGAGCGGGAGGTGGAGAACTTGCAGGGTATGTGCTGTTGCAGTTTTTCATGAATTATGGCCAGTTCTGCACAGAAATACAACCTCACCTACTGGTTGCTGGGGTGGATGTGGCAGGTGACATTCTGCACAGTGCTGCAAAAAAATGCCTGAGCTGCCAGCTCTGTGCTTGAGTTGGAGGAAGGTGGCCTTCAGTCATTACTGGTCTTCCCACTCCCAGGCTCTCCTGGGACCCAAAGTAACCTCGGGCATTGCATATTCCATTACTGGGTGTAGCGTCTCATCTCCCAAGCCACTCCTCGTATGTGGCTTGATGTGGAAGGTAGCAGTTTTCAGTCCCATCAGCTTGGAACACGTTGTTTGTTTCTTAACCTCCTTGCTACATCAGAAACTTCAACCAGCAGGCAAGAATTTTCTTCATAAAGAAAAAAGAGTAGCAAGGAAATACCTGTGGTGATCTAGAGGTATGCAAAGACAGCAGATGTTCCAAATTATTTTAGGTTTTTTAACATTGCTGACTGATTTGGGAGGCAGGACAGTGCTTGTCACAAAGGACAGATAGCATTCTGTTTTGCATAGAATTTAGCAAAATATTTTGGAGAGTTAGAGACCTGCAAGCATTTCCCAAAATACTTAATTCTACCCCACCCTGTTCCTCTGTCATGGCACATATCTGGGTCTGACAGGCAGAATCAGTAGCTGGCAGCTTACCTATCAAGAAAAGTCCCCTGTATTGTATGGAACAAGGATATTACTAATAGTAGGTCCTGACTGATTACTTAGTGTGACTGGGTTAGTGGTAGCTGAAGTCTAACATGGATCCGAGACAGGTTAAACGATGTCTGTTGCTGCTTTTGTTTCCTGGCAAAGCTATACAGAAGGAAGGGATGGATAGGAACTACCTTCAGCTAATCGAAAGGTGCAGGGGGAAGGAATAAATCCTAACTCCAAATAGGAATGTGTTTGCACAGAGTGTCCCCTCCAATGTATATTTCTGCTAATATTTGAAATTTGTTGTTAATGTCCAGAAAAGAAACACAGTGTACCATCTAAAGGGTCCCCTTTTTCATCCTTGTCCTTCAAGATAGCATTTTACCTGCTAAACAGGAGGTACACGCCTGGATGCAGCATGTTCCTCTTCAGTCCTTCTCTGCAGAAGTGGGTCTTTTCTCACTTGGCCATTTGGACTTGCCTCTGGCTGCAGCTTTCTTACCTGAGGGACTTCGTGTTGCATATTGGTACAGAGAGAGATTCATAGATATTCCAGCTTTTATCAAAACATCCTTTCTTTTCACTCCCCTGTAATCAAAGATGCCCAGTCTACATTGTTTTATATGTAATTTTTTGGTGGTGGTGGTTTTTACTGTTGTTCTAGTTTGCTTTGCACTGAATTACTGCCTATATGAATGTAACTCAAATTTATTTGAGAATATAGCATGAGCAGAAGAAAATAATTTGTTTTCCTTTTAAGATTGCATCCATCCACAAGTTCAGCTTCAGAAAAGTCACTTGTGCCTATTCAGGATCCTGAACAATCGTTAACAGAATACATCCATCGCTTAGAGGTTATCCAGCAAAGACTAGGGGGTGCGCAGCCAGGTAAGAACTACCTTGTTACCCCTCACAGCTGCCAGCGTTCTGAGCTGCTTTTTGCAAGGTTCTTCCTACATACTGCCTGTAACACTTAAAGCATGTAAAGAGCATCATTTTAATGAATAATTATTGCGGGGGGGAGAAGAAGAAAAAATTAAGTCAGTCTCTGACATGAAACCTTTTTGTGAATCATATCTAAAACAAGTCCAAATGTGGCATTTCTCAAAATAAATTCTGAGTGAAATTCTTCAGAGATAAGGCTGAATAATTTCATGTGATTCCCCCCCCCTCCCCCCCCAGTTATCAAGTCTAAATAAGCAAGTGTTGCAGTTTAAATGAAGTTGTGTATACAGTTAATTTGCTTTAAAGTCAAAGAACTATTGTAATAGGTGAACAGGGCTTTCTCTGTAGCACAAACTATGATACTTCTCTCATTAATTGCTTCCTTATATTCCATAGCAGATTTAAAAAAAAATTTGGAGGCTGGTAAAAACAGCCATCTAGTTCTAAGATTGCTTGAAGAGCACACAAAGGATTGTAGTGGCACTTATCTTTGCTATTTAAAAAACTTCCACCAAATTTCTAGACTAAATTTACTTAGTTTAATCTTCTAGGTTACTTGCTCTTGTTACATCTTAGTTACATCACAGAAATTCCTTGTCCCAAGGAAGAACTTACAAACTGTCATCACATCATCCTCAAATCATCTCCTATCAAGATATAGAATCATAGAATCATAGAA